AGGTTCATTTTCGCAATTAACGTATATGAATGTTTCATTATATATGAAAATTCCTATGTAATATTAGCCGCATTGTAACTTTATGCAAAGAGAGAGTGAGAGAGAAAGATTAAAATCATAAAGATAACTAATTTTCTATGCAAATTAATCTTATTTGTCAACAAACAAAATTAATATATTATATTATTTTCCGGAAATTTGAGAAAGCAAAAATATCAAAAAAAAAAAAGTTAATTTTTGTGAAATTAAAACATTACTTCTATTGACTTAATAAAACCGAATCTATCGAAGCTTACTGAAAAGAATGAAAAATTATGTTTTGTTATATGAATTCAACATTTTTTTTTGTATTATATTTTCAGTATTGACTCTCAACACTCATCTCAACTATTTTTCCTCTAACCTATATGGTGTTTGTTTCTCTTTGGTACGTTGTGTTGGATTTCGATTGTCTTGAAAACATTTCAACTAGGAAAGCTGTAAACATAACAGAGACGTACATTCACTTTTTCTCAATGTACTTTTTCCTGAAGAAAATAAGAACAAAAAATAAGCGAAAGAACAACGAAAAAAAAAATAACGGCGAACGATGAAGCCTTAACTGAGACCTTCGCAAGTGGCAGTGAGTAACCCCTCGTGAGTTTTACATATAGGGCAAAAAGCAGCGAATACGATCGTAACCCAAGGCTGCTGAGTCAAGTGAAGTAAGGAGAAATGGGGGCGGGGGTGGAAGAAAAAAGAATAATAAATGAAAGAAGTGTGAAAAATATAACAAGAGGCGCATGATTTTTCTCCAAATTTCGAAATAGCATAATACTTAACGGGAAAAAATTCAATATTCACAAACCGTCATAAGACCTAAATTTTAATTGTCCTAATTTTTATTTTACCTAATATTTATTTAGTTTCATTTTTACTTGTCCGAATCGTAATTTAACTTAATATTCTAAATTGGCTTTAATTTGCATTTTTGAAATTTAAAAAATGTTTTGTGGTTCCTAAAATATGTTAAAAAAATGTCCTGGATTCGATACTCCATATGCGTGAGAGATTTTTCAAAATTATTTTCAAGTGTTTTATAAACTAAACTGATAAAAAAGTATCATTGATTCAAAAAAATCATTTACTCGTCCGTATTTGATCCAGTAATTTTTCTAATTCAAGAAAATTTACTTCAAACTAATAATATTTTCTTGGATTAAGAAATTATTGAATCAAATACGGACAAGTAAATGAGTTTACTTGATTCAATACTATTTTTTTACAGTGCGTATGTATTATGTAATAATTGCAAGTAGAATCCCATCATTATTCACGAGTAACATGCATGTAACAGTTCCATAACAATTCTGTGAAAATGTCCGCTTATTCGTGTAACATGTTACTGGTACATGAATATTATGTAACACTCATGTACCAGTAACATGTTACATGAATAAGCGGACATTTTCATAGAATTGTTATGAAACTGTTACATGCATGTTACTCGTGCACACTGGGAATATTAACCCTCACGTGCCTGAGTTCATTTTTTGACGTGCGTGCCTGAGCTACTTAGCTACTTAAATTCCATAAAAAACAAGATTTAATAGCGGAATATTCAATATTTTAATTCTAAATTGTAATTGTAATATTTTGCAAATATAATTGCAAATAATATTTAATCTTTTGACACTCTAGGGTACATAAATAGCCCACAAAAAGTCGCGTCGTGACACCTTTTTCGATACACGGAGAGAAGTGTTACGGTTGTGGCTACAAAACTTGTTTAGTAGCCTAAAATATTCTCATGACAACTTTACTATCAGTTATTGTAACTAAATAGCGTTGAGTTCCGTTTAGTTCACGATACTCAACAGTGTTTTTGGCCTCACTCTCTTTTGAGTCAATGCTACGCCACAGTGGGACAAATTGTCAAAAAGCTGGACAAAAGTCTAAAATATATTTAAAATTGATTGAAACTCGTTACTCGGGGGTTTTCCGTTCAGTTTTTGATTTTTTCATCCGCCATATTGGATCCGCCATTTTGAATTTCAAGAATCTGATAACATATTCGTAATCAGCGACCCCATAAACCCCAGAGTAAAAAGTTCCAGGCGAATCTGATTAAATTTTTATTTGCACATCCACCATATTGGATCCGCCATTTTGAATTTTAAAAATCTAACATCATATTCGTAATCAGCGACCCTTAAAACCGTAGAGTATAGTGTTTCAAACAAATTTAAGTTGTTTAAATAATTTAAATATCAACAATTATGTCCGTTAAAACTAGTAATTTTCTGCAACAATTCATAAAAAGTGATATTAAAATCACAGAGGCAGCTAGTGGCAGCCAAATCTTGATTTTTCATAACATTGAATGTTTCAGGACTAAGCCTGTAAAAGTTTCACGGTTGGCTTTTTTGACCATTTTTTTAAATCTCTACATAAATAGAATTTTTTTTCATATTTAGAATTTTTTTATAATAATTTGTTGCAAATTATTTTTTTATAAGAAATATTAATACTTCAATATTGTATATTGATTCTACATATCTTTATTCACAGATGCCAATGTACAAAAGTCAATTTTAGCTACACAATAATGTTTTATTGACTTTTCAAAATGAACATAGATAAAATAAAACATGCAAAATTATATGAAACCAAGTATAAAGTTTGAAACAAAAATTACAGCAAGATTTAGTCTACTGCACCCTCAACTATATGAAATTAAATGCTCCTGGGGGTCCCCTACCAATATATATAGAAATCATCGCATTTTAAAAAACTTTTTTTTTACTTTTGGCCAGGTTTTTGAGATTTTGTCCCACTGTGCTACGCTACTGCTTATGTTCCCCTACTTTTTATTGAGATATCAAAATTTCGGACGATTCTTTCTCCAAACAGTACACTTTGTTTATGTTTTTATTTAATTTTTTTTTTTTTATCTTATTTGAATAAATTTATATTGAAATTATTAGGAATTTATCAACAGTGTGCATTATTATTTATTTTTAATGAAACATGAAATATAATCAACACATTATAGGTTATGTTTGCTATGTTCAAAACAAAAGCAGCCATTTAAATTTTTAACTGATTTAAAGGTTGGCACTATTGTACATTGAACATGTTACTGATACTAGACGGCTGTTTAGTAAAGTCTACTCTTATATTGGTCCGTCGAAAATTAACAATACTGTTTAGTTACCACAAACGAACCGAGAGTCTTACTCACTACCCAGTTCTCTCCGTGTAGGGCAAATTTGAGTGTACAGTACAAAAAAAGTAATTAATTTAATTCAAGTATTACTGGGTATTCTTAGGTTTTTGGGGTCGCTGATTACAAATCAGACGTCAGATTTGGAAAATTTAAAATGGCGGATCCAATATGGCGGACGAATTTTCAAAAATTAAACATATGTCCTTGAAAATCGTTACTCGGAGGTTTTCGGGGTCGTTGATTGCGAATTTTAAGTCAGTTTTTCAAAATTCAAAATGTCGAATCCAATATGGCAAACAAATTTTTAAAAATTAAACATATTTGCGTGAAAATCGTTACTCGGGGATTTTTGGGGTCGCTGATGAAGAATCTGGTGTTCGTTTTTCAAAATTCAAAATGGAGGATCCAATATAGCAGACGAATTTTTTAAATAATCGTTTGGATTCGCTTGAAAATTGTTACTCGGGGGTTTTTGGGGTCACTGATTTCGAATCTGATGAAAGTTTTTTTTTAAATTTTGAATGTCGGATCCAATATGGCGGACAGGAAAATTTTAAATCAATACAATTTACTAATATCAGATTCGTAATCAGCGACTTTAAAAACCCCTGAATAACGAGTTTCAAGCAAAATCGTCCAATTTAAAAAAATATATCTGCCATACTGGCAAATTTCTTAAATAGAATTAGATGAAAAAGCAAATTGTCTGGGTCCGAGGGAACCAGCCCAGGCACGCAGGGGTTAAATAAAAATTTGTAAAAACTGTCATTTATTTTAAATAAAAATAAACCCACAAAATAGATGAATTTAAAGAAAAATTGACAAGGTCCTAATAAGTTTTTATCTAAGTAGGGGCTACATAATTAAGAGATAGGGAAATCTATGGTGAGTACCCCTTCATCAGGCCCACATTTCAATTTGTGCTTGGGTAGTGTTTATGAAATATTCCTAATTTGAAATTCGTTATAATTAAGTTTAAAATATAATCAGACGATTTTTTTGTTTGTGAACTTAGTTCAAAGCTCAACATTAGAGTGAGACCAAATAGCGCTGACAGTGAGTTAGAGTTCCTTCTCAGGTTAAGTTTAGTTTGCTTGATACTAACACGATGCTTTGAGGAAGGTCGCCTCCAGGGAGGTCAAAGGCAAAAGATGCTGGGACAGTTGGGCACTGACGAGATCTGGGGTGGCTCAGGTATACGAGTCATTGGCGCTCACCAAAGCTGCCGAGTGCAGCTTTAAGGTGCTTCTTCTTCTTCTTCTTCTTTATAAAGAAAGAAGCTTCTTTAAAAAAACAAACAACCTCTAATTCCCAGACACGTGATGTTGCACAAACACTTCTCATGTAAGAAAATCGACAATAGAGGTACCTAATTGAATTTGTAATTGAAACATGTCTTCTCAAGGGGAAATAAATGCAAATAATGTCTAGACTTTCTTCAAACATTTAAAATAACAAAGATTTTCCTGACTTTAAATAATAATTCTCCAGTTAGTAAAATAAATTTTGATTATCAAAAACTTATAGAACAGCAAATTGCAGTTTAAAAGAAGTTGTAGTGAATTTTATTCGGGACGAATAAAACGAAACATTAGAGAAGTTTTTGAATAAATTTTTGTAACAATCGGAAATTAATGTAAAGTTAAAAACTTGAAATATTTAAAGATTCGGATATTTATTTAAATGTTTTTAAAGCAGATATAAAAAGTAATTTTCTAAATCTGATACTTAGATATATTTCAAGTTTTTTTAAGTGAAAAATATTGATGTTCGAATGATAAATACTACTTACTTGTTATATAAAACAATATCCGGCAGCCATATATGTTCTGCTGGTACGTGAAGAGTATCAACCCCGCCATAGTCGTCCGGATTCCACTTGAGTTTGTAATCATTCCACTCCTGGAATAAAAAAAGAAAAATAATGTGAGAAACTGAGTTTAGCTCCAGTCGCTGTGACATTGATACGCGATACAAGCTAAGATCGATTAATCAACTCTCCCGGGGCGCCCAACCATTAAAATCTCCATTCTCGCTTTTCAAGAAGTTAAATCGTGTAGTATATATACATTTAAATATATTTATATTTATTTATTTATTTAAATGTTAATTTTTTCCTCCAATTTTTATTTCCGCAATTATTATATCAGAAATATTTGAATCGTGAGTTTCGAAAAGGGCTCAACTCGAAAAAGCGTAAGTGTCATTTTCGCATGAATGACTCTTACACTTTTTAGAGTTGAGCCCTTTTCGAAACTCACCATTCATTTCTTTTCGATTGAAAAAAAAATGAGAAGGAATAACTTTTCGAAAGGTGCAAATGAGACATACTTGTTAGGATAATTTAATTTTCGAATTATGATGAAAGGAAGAGGGGTCAATTAAAAGAAACGAGATTCATAATTTCCAAATAGGTATGAAAATTATAAAATCGAAAAAATAGAAAATGGGGAGTTAAAGGGTTGCGATAAAATTACTTTAGAATATTCCTCTGCTACTCAAACTAATTTCATTTTCAGTCACGTAGCAAGCACCAAATCGTTCTTAATTTTAAGTTCGTGATAATTGGAGAAACTATTGCTAACAAGTTTGAAACTGATTCCAAAAGCTTTTACAAAGAAGTAGGATATATATTACAACTTCAATGAAAGTATATTGACCATGGAAAATATATATTGGAATTTCAATTTGATTAGGAAAAAGGAAATCTATTTTTATCATGACTATAAAACATTATATACATCTTTTATATGTATATATATATATAGAGAGAGAAAGATACGTACGAAATTTCAACTATGAAAAATTTTATTACATCTATGAAGCAGATACTTTGTCATAAATACGTAAAAACTAGACACTCTCTTATCAAATGTAAAAAAAATTATTATCTCATAAATGTGAGGAAAAATATTTTCTTACAAATTTAAGAAAATGGATATACTTTTTTTTAATATTGAAAAAAAAAATTTTTTTTTCAGTTAAAAATGATACTAACACGAAAATATATATTTCTTGAGAAAATATTTTTCTCATATATATTGATAGTTGTGCAGGATATTCGGTGCTAAAAAGAAAGAAAATAAAAGAATTGTTCAAGTGTCGAGTGCGAGTAAGAAAGGTTCTCTCCTTTTTTTTCCTTTTTTTTTTTTTTTACTATAAGAAACCACCCCTTTTGTAAAACGTCGGGGGGGAGGGGGGGCTCACATTTGTGCAATAAATTCGCAAAGAAATTCTCTTGGTCCTGCGCGCGTACTTTCGAGCTTTGCATTTTAAAGAAACCAATACACCACCACCACCATCACACAAGAAAAGGTTTTTCTCACCGAATTCCACCTACAAATGGAAACCACTTGAAATCTCTTTTGTTCTTTACTTGATCCAAATACCTTTTCAAACCAGGAGTGTGTAATCTTTGCGCAAACGTAAAAATAGATTTTCGATTTTAAATAGATTTTTCCTCGGATAAAACGGATAATATTACATATACAGCAAAGAACTTTCAAGTGATTTATTCAAAACTATTGCAATTCCATATAGTATTATTATGTCGTAGAATTTTTAATAAAAAAAAAATATATATTTTTTTCAATATAGAAAAAATATAGTTATTGAAATTTAAATAATTAACGTTAAAACATTAATGGAAAATATTAATCTTAAAGCTTTTATATTTTACATTTCTCTCTCTCTCTCTATCTCGATCTCGATCTCTCTCACTCTCTTGAGAAATTCAAGTGATTGTCATCTAGCCTAACAATACCCTGGACCAATAATGACGAGCGCAATTAGCAACTGACAGGCGGAATTGCAGGAACGTCAATTTATTAATATTCAATGCACGGACAGTTGGAAATTCAGACAGGAATCGATTATTTAAAACATGTATATATAAATATACAAATATGTGCACTTGGTGGAAATAAATAAAGCGCTCTGATGATTCATATTGTACATGAACAATTTTCAAAACAATTTCAAATTTCTCATAATTATTTTTTGGGAAATTTTATTGCAGTGAAATTAGATTTTACGTGTATTCGCAGTTTCAAAATCAACAACAACAACAACAACAACAACAAGCGCAAGATCCATCGAAGAGCGGATGGTTACCGATTGCACAAACTTCACATATATACATAAAATGATCCCAGGAATACATTATTGTCCAATTATATCCTAGCTGACATTGCAATTATTCTCTTTCTCGTCCCGACACTCGATTTGCCATTGCGATATAATGAAACGACGATCATATCCGTTCAACATATAACGATTACACACACACACATACATGAATATCATCACTGGTGAATATTACGTAAATGTACCAAACCACTAATTTCATATTCAATTTTCCCGACTTAGTTTATATTTTAGTATCTAATTATTGGTAGCCCACAAAATCACTTTTATTTATTCAAAAACTATGTAAAAATATGTCCAAGTTAAAATCAATTTTAATTGTAAATGAATTTTGATAATTTGGTAACAATGATTTTCAGACATGTGTCTAAAATTCTCAACATTCAAATGAACGAAAAATTTGTTTACTATTTTTTTTAACTTCAAATTTTATATAATAAAATATTGCTTTCTATATCCAAAAATAAATTATAATAATTTATTAAATGTTTAATATACTTATTTATTTTTATTAACACAGAAAAAATCATTTGAATCAACCAAACATTTATTTGGCTCAATCAAATTATTTCTTCAATCGAAAAATTTATTAAAATAAACTATATGTTTATTTAGATCAAAATATTTTTAAAAAAAACACTCAGAGAAATTTTACATTTGCGTTTATTTAAGATTAATAAAATTTATTTAAATCAAATAAAAACATATATTTGTCTCACAGTTTAATAACTTTTTATTTGTTTCAAATAAAAAAAATTTATTAAGTACAAATACAATTTTATTTCAAATAACATTTTTCTTTAAATCAAAAAAAAAATTATTTACAACAAATAAATATTTATTTGGACCAGAGATAAAAATATATAGTTTCTCTTGGTGTTTAGACTATATAGAAAGTTCATTTGAAATTTCAGAACTTCAGGCACATTTTTAAGACAACAAAATATATGTTGACTTAGATATTTACAAGTAAATTTTTTTCACCGGTAGAGAAAAAAAATCTCATTATCCTGCATTAAGAAGAGTTTTAATTAGAATTTATAACCGACTTTATATTTTGTAAATTATCTTTATTATTTTGCAATCAGACTTTTATATTCTAGATTATGCGCGCATTCGAATCCAGAATAAATTCTTAATCAATGGAAAAAAGATAATTAGAATCGTGTATAATACTTTAAATGAATTTTTCCCTACAGCGAAATTTTAATAAGATTACAAATATAATACAATTAAATTTTGCAGCCTCCGGTTACAGTAGTTTGTACTAACCATGTCAAAAATATATGTTAAGAAAGGAAAATAACCTCAAAACTCACGGCCAAATGTCCAACATATAAGCTAAAACATGGCTAAAACGAATACATTATAACCTTAAATATCTACATCATATATCAAAATCATAAGTCAAAAACAAACATTACCTCAAAATTCAAGGCCATATGTTAAAAAATATGTTAAAAAGAAACATAACCTCAAAAATAAATATCACATGTGACGCTCCGCAACAAAAGCTACCTAAGCTTCCAAAATTTTTAGGTTATATTTAGTGATAGTTTTAAACTTTAAACCCAGCGGCCCAAATATAAATTGACATAATATTGAGGTTATTCTTTCTTTTTTTTATTATTATGGCCTTGAAGATTAACAGGTCATAAGTCAAGAGACCGCTGGGTTTGTGGTTAAAACATAACCTCCAAATTAGGTCAATTTCTGGGTCAAGAGAGCGAAAATAACGTCAAAACGTATGATTTTAAGTTCTTATATCAAGAAGTTAAAATCAGTAAATATAATCTTAAAATTAGGTCAAAACTCACACCTAAAATACGAACATAACCTTAAAAATTCAAGATTTAGAGGGACGAAACCCCCTCCCCCCTAGTAACATATACAATGAATATCTTCAAAGAAGAAATATAAATTTAATGACTAGTGAGTAACGTCTCATCAAAGCTCCAAATGAATTTAACGTATTTTACCTATATTTATCTTAAAACTAGTTTGTCTACCACCGCAGCCAAAATTTATCTTTCAAATAAATCCGAAATCCTCCAATCAGATTCTAGGATTTAGGATTTATCTGGCATATAAATCTTGAGCAGGGATGAACTGGTCTTCCTCGTAATGAAGAATAAAGACGTCAGGTGTATACATTTTATTGCCAAAAGGCACAGAACAATAGATAGTTGAGAAAACGTTGATGATAAGCGAAATAACACCCGAAAAATCGATTACTCAAAAAATAAAAACTTCTCGCTTTAAACACATAATTGTTCTTAAATAAATATAAATAAATAAAAATATTGTGAAACATATTTCCTAAATTACATGTCATTAAATAAAAAAAAAAAGAATTGAATTTTATATTTTCAAATTAATTAAATGACATATTGTATTCATAAAAGTTTGAAAATTAAATTTTAAATTTAAGTACTAATTTTACCGCTGTGTATAATAATATTTAATGAGATTTAATTTATATTAGCAAAAGTGAACGAAGAGTATGAATAAATAAGCTAATGTAAATTATAATCTACAATAATAATGACGTAGCACAATTTTGTATAAGCACACTTCATTTATATGATTTTTTAATCATATCAAATTATCTGCATTAATATGATCAATATTATTAAGTTATTGAACTATAATATTGCAAAACGAGCTAATGAAACTGTTCTGCTTATAACTACGTTATAAAGAGCTAGTAGAGAAAAAAAATCGTTTAATTAATAAATTTAGTATTTTTTTCAGGC